ACGATACTGGTCCCTAGACATTCAGTTCAATAGCCCTCACATATCTGGATTGGAACTGGACAGTTGTAGAATGTGTGTGTGTGGTGATACCAAAATTCCATTTATAAAAAATTGCTGTTCCACCATTACAATAATGCTTAGGTTGTTTCAAAGTTCAGTGAACATCACTGATGTTTGAGAAGTCTGACGAATCTCACAAAGAGTTCATCGTTTAGTGAATTTTGCCTCAGGGAAATGTACGATTACATTTATGTAATAATTTCCAATTAACCTCGTTCCATTTGCTTGGGTGAATACATGTATTTAAAATATATGCCACAGTGAAATCCTCTATGTTACTTCCCTTCACGGATTAAACGCACGTACCAGCCTCAGAGTCTTCTATTCGGCTCTGCCTGCTGTTTCTCGTACTAAGAACTTATGAAAAGGCAGATTAAGCTTACTAACCTTCGGCTTCTGCAAGACGACTAAGCGAGCGGCACACCCAATGGAACATGAAAACAGTCGCAAAAAAAGTCGTTCTTTAAAATCGTACTACAACATCAGAATTCAAAAAGTTTATAACAACGACGTGCTTTGATGAATACTGTTTGACCAAGTGCACAGTGCAGCAGACTACTTTAAAAAGGTGGGTTGCCTGAAATTGGACATATGAGGCCGAAGCATGTAGCTGAAACACTGAATGTATATATATTTTAATAACTTTAATGAAATTCTAAACAATTCACTAAATGTTTGTTAAATAAGTGTGATTTTATGTTGTTAAATTAACATTGTTACCTTACAAAAGGAAAATAAAACTATGGGACTATAAGTTCTGCAAGAAATTGTTTCGTCTGCTATGAACTTATGAGCATTTAATGTACATCACTGTTTGTTTATTTCCAAATTTAAGAAAAATGACGTATATATTATTCTAACACACGAATAATTTTTTATTTTTGCTTCTATATTAAGAATATTTATGAGAATAATATTCTGCGCAGAGATCATACTGCTGCTTCTCCTGTCATACATAAGAAAGCGAACCTCAACTTCATGAAACTAGCGACTCGTCAGCTTCTTTTCAGATAAGACAAAGATCTGATAAGAAATGGGCTTGCGAGTCAACTGGGAAGGATGTTCCCTGGGTGTCAAAATATTATCCCCGTTATTACTATTGCAGTTGCAGAGATGACGCAACTGGAGAAGGAATCACGAGTAAAACTTTTCTCCCTCAGTAACCTCCATTCCGATTTTGGGTTTCATTTTCAAAAATCCCTGGTTGACATTACTCACCCTCATTACAGAATTCTTTCCATGTATCATACATATACCGGCACGTGTGTGGGGTTAGCGTGACGAATGGCAAAATGTTCTGGACTGGATGATTGGATTTATTGCAACTTCTAATGCAATTACGACAATTTAGCGAAACTATACACAGACTGAAAATATACTACGTTCTAACTCTATCAGACAGACCTGAGTAAAAACACATTACAAGAATTAAAATTATACCTAACCGAACAAAAAGAAAAACAGTATATCAGTTATGGCGCTGGGCATAACTCATTCACGAGCCAGTACCAATTGAAACATACTCGTACATTTACAGCAGACTCTGCATATCATGTATAATAAATATGTGAAAAAATCATAATTCAGATCAATTAAATAACCGTTGTTTCCTTGTTATTCCAAATTTTTCCTTTGCGATTAAGTTTAGTTTTCCCCTCTCATCATTCTTTTGAACAATCTCTATAATTTCTACACATAATCAATATTTTACGCTTAATGTTGTGTTTATTTTGAAAGTAAAAATGTATATTGTAAATAATGTAAAATAATGTTCACTAACTTAATATATGGTATTGATAAAACTAATCCCCTGCTGACAGTCGGAACATGTAGACAGGAATGTTATATTTGACGGTGTCAATAACAAATTAACAAGCCATTTTCTAGCAAACCTGGCAAATAAAATGAAATTGCGTAATTCGGCATTTTTGTGGACGCCACTGCATCACAAAACTGTGGCATTCTGCTTTACCTTGCTCAGGCAGAGTATCGCGGTTCAAGTACCTAGGCTCTTGTTCCTGATTGCCTGGCACAGTTTTCCAATTAATTTTGCATGGCAGTTCCACTCTCCCAGTACTCAACAAGCACCGCATCTTTAGTATCTCTGAAACTGGGTTCCGAGGCTTTTCCCGCTATCATAATAAGTGGCTTATAGTCCCTTCCGCAATTTTGTCACTGAATCGAAATTATGAACCATATTTTATCAGTATACGAGATGAAAAGCGCTACTACATGTTAAGACGTAAATTTCAGAAATATGTAGCAAGACCCCCTTATATGAAAGTGCAGGTAACTGATTAACGTGTGCTGTATCCTCAAAGGTCTATCATTTCAAACCAGAAACGTACTTGATGTTTTGACATAAATGTCCTTAACAGAATTCATACTTTCAGTGGCATTCAAAAGAAAGTTTAATGCTTATAGCATCTACGTAGTTGTGGCATTTCAGAGCAGATCAGTGCTTGATGTTTGGACACAGAATTCCTTTCAATGATGTAAGTTCAAAAGATTGTTTAATGTCTAATGCATTCACGTAGTTCTATCCTTTTCACAGAGATACCAAAACCTCACGTATTGACCCCATATTTGTAACGGACTTCTCTTAGTCTCTCCGTGTAAGCGTGTACCATAATGTCAAGTGAAGCGTGGTACGCGTGAAGAAAATAACGGGTTCTAGTTGGGATGGTTGGATTTATTAGCACTTCGGTTACAAGTTCTCTTAATACAGCGCTATCGCCGATTTACATACTCTCCAGTTCACTGCCGCACACGCAATAGAATTCTCCGTCTTCCTTAGTCGTCTCCTAGCAACGGATTTCGACACAGAAATTATCACTTCAAATCACTATGAAGTCTTCTTTTCTTCAGTCACTTTGTACTCCTCTGTCCTAATCTGTAAAGTAAAAGTAAAGCTATCCCTGTACCAGCCCATGAAGGCCCATAGGGTTGTGAGACGCTGAGGGTCCCACATTATCTAGACAATCGGCTTAAAGATGGCGGTAATGTTGTCAGCCTTACGCGCCGGCCGTGCTTTACTGCCCAGGAAAATCTGTCCTAATCTGTACTCAACTAAACTTCACAATTCACTAAGGACACGCTCCATTCTCGTCTTCGTACTCTCAACTATTCTTAGCTTCTTAATTCACTTCTCTTATAAGCACTGTGCACAGACACCATGGAAAACACAGTCCGTATTGTTGACGACGTTACCGCGTTTCATAGCACTCTTCTATATGGAGAAATATGTTTACTGAGCGGTTGCTTATAAATGAAATGAATAACCATGTTGTTATATTGTTGCGTGCCTGTATCACTTAGTAACGGCTGTTTCTGTGGCTCAGCAGTTCTTGCATGGAGTAAATACGTCAAAGTAATATTCAGATACTCTTGCGCAGAACGAGGAAGAGCGGTAATGTCATTCCACAGTAACATAAAGACAACAGCCTAAATTTAGGGATGTTCATACACTATTTTCTGATCTCCTTATGAGACGGGAGAAATCACATGATTAGAGTTTTCATGATTATTCTTAGTTCACGAAGGCATTTGCCTTCAGATCCACACATCCTTAGATTCCTATTAAGCCAATTTCAAAAGCATTCTGCTATTTTCTGGGGTAAGGGGGGCCGGGATAGCCCAGTTGGTATAATGACTGGCTACGGGCTGGAAGACCTAGAGGTCGGAGTTCAATTGCCGTTAGAGCAACATTTTCCTCTCCTCCACGTCGTCCAGACCGCCTCTGGGGCTCACCCAGGCGCCTATCCAATGGGCAGAGGGGTAAAGCGGTAGGAGCGTGAAGGCAACCACTCATCTCCAACTATTACCGAGGTCAAGAAAACGTGCATTTACATATCTATTCCCACATATGCCTTGATGGTGTCGTGATGAATTAGTTAAGTACAGGGATAAAGTTTTATGTAACCTTTGGGATGAAATGCCTCGTCGTCCGTTGTAAGTGAGGCAATGTTTCGCAAGCATATGACACCATCTTCATGGTTAAAATGTAAGTCGATCAAGAAACCAGCACGAAGCAGGCAGCAAACAAATCCACAGGCCATACGGTGTTATATTGCTCAAGGTCGAACTCTTCACAACCATTGCTGTGACAACTTCCACTCCTGTACCCCGCTTTTCTCGTTCCATGTTAACAGCCTGAGTTCTGTGGTTATTAGAAAGAGTTCCTAGCCAGGAAAGAGTAATTCCACTGCTGATATGTCATTTAATCAGGAACGGCACATAATTTGAGGCAAGTACCGGAGATACTGCTCACGGTGTCTGTGATTACCAGTGATGACGTTAAGGAGAAACTTCTTCCATAGTATATCTCGTTTCCGCGTGAAGCCAACAGTTGCCAGTGCCTCAGGAGATACTGCAACGATCTTCATGGGATCAGTATCTCCCTCGTTCCGGAGATTTTGTTACTTTTTATCCTCAGAAGTAAGGGATCATGGAAAGTCGATTCGAATCGTAAGTTGAAATGTAGCTGCATGTTCTCGAAAGCAATGCGGATAACTAACAAACTAACCAATCAACCCATGATCTAACTTTATGGGGTCCTTGTTGAGAATCGACCGGTCGCTCAGCTATAACATGGATTCTATGAGAAAGTCATCCGGTGCTCTGTGACTCAATGGAGTGCGTCAATACGTATGACATATATCAATTTACATTCAAGAATAAATTAACTTCAAATTAAATTTGGAGAGTGTCTGCTGCCATTCAGTTCAGAACCTTAACACAGCCTGCCTCCGGGCCGAAAAGCAAACTCGGGTCTTACAGAACATGAAGCAGGAGTAATCATCGCTGAACCACGAAGTTCAGTGTGCCACTCTGAGACCGGGTCCCTTTTAATGGCCTCGAGCAATATTATGAATATTATGTTAGAGGAGATTGGAATATCAAGGGACAGGGCTACAACTTGACGTCATGCGCTGTTTCAGAAGCGGCAGCCGAGATCCTGGGAGCGCCGGATCTGCATATCAAGAGCGGCAGCAAGCTGAGGCTGGTGTGTACGCTTCGCCAGAGCACGGAGCCGCCCGTGTACGTGTTTTGGTATCACGAGGAACGCATGATCAACTACGACAAGGAGCGCGGCGTGGCTGTGCACAGCGACCGCTCCAGCAGTGTGCTTGTCGTAGCTGAGGCGCAGAAGCGCGACTCCGGCAATTACTCGTGCGTGCCCTCCAACGCCCGGTCAGCGAGCATCAACGTTCACGTCCTCAACGGTAAGAACTCCAGAACTTGACAATTAATCATATTACACATTATATAAATTATCTAAATCATCCTGTAATTTAAGTTTCTTCTTCTTCTTCTCCTCCTCCTCCTCCTCTTCCTCCTCTTATTCTTCGTTTATTGTTGTTATTGCTGCTGCTGCTGTTGTTGCTGACGACGACGACGACAAACCGGTTGAAATTCAGCGAGGTGTCATTGCTTTCCTACCTTCATCGACCACATACTTCCTTTCTTTATCTTTTTGCCATTTCAAGCATTTCTTTCGTTCCATCACTTCACCATTGAAAGAGTGAATTAAGTTACATTTTTACCCTTCAGAAGGCACAGTTTCCAACATACAGCTGCTATTTGCGAAAGTACGTAAAAACTAAAATGGCGTGTGAATTCCGTAAGATACACATCTAGTCAAATAATACACCTGCATATACTTAAACCTACATCTATTATATTCATATTATTACTATTATCATCATCATCATCATCATCATCGTCATCATTTTCACCGCCATCATTATCTGTCGTCTGCAATAACATTATTTCAGCACATTCTAATAAACTGGAAAAGACACAGAGATATCAATTTACTCTGTCCAAGATTCTTCGCGTTTATGAATCAATTCTAAATTATTTAAATCACAAAAGCTCTTTATTCGAGACCACAAAATTTTGACGCTTTTCTTCTTGTTAACGTTTCCAAGAACAAAATCAATTCCTCTACTATGGATACCGCTGGTCTCCGTGTAGAAACTAAGCAAATTATGGATATTTCCACTTTTAATGTCAGTAAATGTCTCGAAACCTAGCCGATGATCAACGTGTGCCACATCATCTGCAGAACTCCGGACGTTTCTAGCAAACACATTGCCTCCCTTGAGAATATTTTTTACTTTGTTTAATCTTGATTATTAATGGCTTCTGTTACTTTATTAAAGTATTATCTGTATTCTTTTAGAGTTTAGTGTTTAATTCTTAGTTAAGTTATTAGCCTATCTTTAGTCTTATGCACATTCAGTGCTGCCCGTTACATGTTCATCACAGTTTGTAAGCACTCAGATAAACGAACTAAATTGAACTGTTTTATTTGCTTCTGAACTAATCCAGTTTGCAAATTAATCGATATTTTTAGAAAATTATGCTCCGATTTAAATACTCTTTATTGATCTAGCTTTCTTGCTTGCGTGTTTGTTATTTTCCCTCGTGTTTGTTGCTTTTGATTTGTACGATGCATTTGTGCTGACTCTGTACCTGATCCATGGCCGTCGATTTCAATACAAAATGAAATAAGATACTAGTTAATATAATTGAATTATACGGGAGTATCTGGGTTCTGTTCAGTAATTTGTAGAGCTGAGTTCATATCCCGGGTCTTATACGGGTCTGGCTCGGGCAGGGCAGGAAGAACCTTTCACTACAATTACACACCTCTTTAGACCGTTGCACTTAGTAGTCCTTTAATCGCCTCCAGCTTACTGAATACATCTGAATTTATTAATACACTTAATTTGAACTTTACTTATACTACTTTACAGAAGGGCCGTAGTTGTAAATTTTGCGTCCGACTTTGTCGAAAGTTGTATCAAGACTCCTCGAGGTGGAATGCACTCTCTCTGAATCCTGATGTCCACGAACCCCAGACTCCAAGAGAAATCCACTCCCCCACTTCTGCCATTGGTTAAGTTTTCAAACTAGGAGGTTCCCTAAATTTTGAATTCCCAATCATGTTGCTCTACTATGTGATTCTGGCAGATGCTGACCTGAAGCTAAGGTTGACAGCCCCTTGATGCATTACGATCAGGGTATGAGTCTCCGGCCGTCCCACTTCTAAGTTATAGCTGTCCCAAGCTGTCAGCTCTCAAATTCCCAAAGACTTTCCGACTTTGCTGAAACTGCCAGAATTCCAGGCAATTACCAGATGTTACATCCTGTCCACATAGGAAACCTTGAACTATGTCCCTTCCGCGTGTAAGAGCTGGCTGTCTGCCGCATCTCTTTGTTTGTAATTTTGTAATCTTAACTTAATACATATTTAATTAATGCACAACAGTCCTCCAATCAAAATGAACGGTTACAGTGGAGGTGTCCAGAAAGAGGTGCAGGTGAATCGCAGCACAAGGAAGGAGAGGACCCGCATAAGTGGAGACCAACATAAAGGGCCCAACGATGTGAGCGGTTAAACTACATGCGGCACCAGATTTTAAAAATCAACTTTTCAATATCAAGCTCAATATAAAAATAATCTGTGAAGAAATACAAAATCACTTTTGGCATTAAAAATTTCAGATGTAGAGCACGTTAGCTTTTAAGCTTCAATTTCGTATATATGAAGCGTCGTTCTTTGTCTAAATATGTGCAATTAAATAAAATTGTCACGTGTAGGGAGGTACGCGCGACGAGAATGACCGGTTCTAGTTCGGATGGTTGAATTTGTTAGAAAACACCACCTTTTCTTGTCGAGTATTGTTGTGTTACCTAGCAACATGTTGCAACATGGTCCACAGAGAACACAGCTCCTATTCTTGCGTGTTCGCTGGAACGTGTATACTGAGTCGTTGCCTAGCAATGGTTCGATACGTCATAATATAATCGATTCTACACAACAGATCAGTAGGTGTTTCAGTGGTCAGTGAACCAAGTCCCTGTGCGGTTCTGTGCTCTGCAAACTCAACAAACCTCTACGATCTATATATTCCTAATTGGAACACTATAAAATCAATCATTGATCCACTTTCGTTCCAGTATCTCACATTTTGTTCTTATACTCCGTGTCTCATATTATAAAACTGTCAGGGAATACGGAATGTATAATATACGTCAACGTTCTGCAAATTCCAGCACTTCATAAACTATTCACGTATTTATATTGGTCATTCTTTACCTCGCTTTTGTAACACGACCAATTAGTTACATGCGCAGCGCAAACTGCATTTCCTCCACACTTTACGGTTACGGAGGCTTGAAGCGATGAAGCTGATGAGCAACAAAGCAGAGGCCAAAATCATTTAGGACGACACCAAAAGCCTCAGTCAGCATGGCTTTCTTTTTAAGGCGAAGAATTTTTGTTTTCAACTTCAAAGTTTTCTCTGACAAATTACGCGCAAGAAACTTCTCATGAAGTAAGAAACTTAATTGTAATTTCATTGTATGGCTTCGAAGAAACAAGAGTTTCTAGAACCTATTACGAAGTCTAGCGTTATCTGCTCATCTGTCCTTCCCCTGATATAGTGACACGGTAACTGACTGGTTTCTGTGAAACTCGGTATGAACAGCACAGTACTGTAGGCCATCTCGTGGTAGCATTTCTCAACTTCCGGTCGTAATCAATTCAAACGTCCTGTATATGGAACTTCTGACCTAGGAACAAAACTAATGTCACTGTTTTCAATCATATAGCGTTTGAAGTGAACTTCTTCAGTTTTGCAATTACTGACAAAGTATTAGTGGAAGATAAAAGGTAAAGTAGTCCCCAGAATTAATTTATGCAGCACCACGCCATGAATAAATGTGAGCCTCTACCGCTTTACACCCATAGAAAGAGCTCCCGGTGCCCATTGAATACGAGGCTGGACGGGTCCCAGAGCCGGACTTGACGTTAGTTAGAATCGAACTCCGATTCCTCGGTCGTTCAGCTCGTAGCCTGTTCGATGTGTCAACTGAGCTAGACTGTCAATAGTACCACAATGCATACTAGAGAAACAGGATGTGACGATATGTTGCAGAGGCCAGTGGAAAAATCTTGTTAACGCAGTGACTATTAATTATCTTCAGGAGAACTCTGTTCCATGGAGTTATAATTGGAAGATTATTTGTATTAAAATTAACTTTCTTTATATAGTATGCGATCGTCATTGAATTAACCTCCCATAGCATGCTGGTTCAATATGAACTACCTGCTTTATCGTAAGGGAACTCTGAATTCTGCCCACACTGTACTTTTATCACTCGTATGCTCCTCACAATAAACAGCGACTGTTTCCATAAACAGCATTACTCGGCTGGTCTCTGTAGCAGAAACGTGATGTGTTTCCTGTGAGGTACGAGCTGAATTCTTATTTATAAATCAGAAGACATCCAGTGCCTGGAGTCTTAAGTATTTTGGAAAGATCGGTGCCTCGTTTGATGTAAATATACCTCCTTAAATGATGAGGTTATGCCGAGGTTTCCTTTCTTCATTTAAATTACTGATTTCTGGTGGTTAGAATACTATTTTACATTAGTCTTGCGGCTTTCCCACAGACAAGTTTTATGGGTTATCAGAAAAACTGTGCTTTCATCTACATGACATGGTTACATAAGTAATCATATCCAGCCACATAGTGCAAGATAATTCTTGAAAATCTGACAGTAGTTCATCATATTGTGACATATGGGCCGTTTCTATAACAATAAAGGGATATACGTAAACATTCTCACTGCAACGAATACAGACAACAAAAGAAGAACTACAGTTTCTATGCGACAGCCGGTAAACATCCCCTTGAAGAAGTGAGAACAATGTAAGGGAAACTGTTTCCTATGCGGTCCGCGCCAAGCAAACGCAAGGAACAATAAGGTGTCCATTTCCAGGAAATGAGGTGTAAACACGCATCCTCAAAAAAAAATACGGTGTTTTCCGTGGGGTCCGTGCAGAGGAGCTATCTTGAAGACAGTCGGCGCTACGAGTCAGTCAGTTCTCGGTAGGACATAGCCACGGGAAGTTCGTAGTAGATGAATTAGAAGTCGGCCAGTGAAGACTTAACGTGTCATTTGAAGACTTTATGTGTGCTGCACTGTAGTGATAACTGGAGTGTGATAGTTTTAGTTCCTGTGTTAAAATCAGTTGCACGGAAACGGACAGGGAAAACTCTGCAGACGAATAGCCATTGTTTAGATCTGTTACCTAGTAGCGATTAGTGTAAGCAGATATAGAAGATTTTCTTTAAGTGTGATAATTACAGTAATCTTGGAAGAGTTACAATTATTTGCAGTTATGACCTGTGAATATCCAATAAAT